CCGCATATTAATAATGGCTCCCTGATGCCAGCAATTTATATACATTATAATTACCCAATGATATTAATGTGAGAGAAAGTGTTTAAATATATTTTTTCCTCCCATCTCATATTTATTCCCTTTAGGGGTTCATTTTTTTTTTAAATGGAAATGTCCTTGCCTTATGAGCAGATGATTTATGCTAATCGACAGACTGTTATGTTAACAAGTTATTCGGTTATGTTTATTATATTAAAATGTTTCAGAATGTTACAATCATTATGCTTGAGTTAAAATAGCAAACTGTTTAATTAATTAGGGGATAGGCTATCATAAAGATTGAAAGCATGAATGGTCTCCCTCTCTCTCTGTTTATGGGTGTGTAGCCTATCCGTGCACGCGTGCATGCATACAGGGGAGGGGTGCGATTTTCAAATAATTCCCAGCGATCTTCGAATATTATTTTTGCTTGAAATGCCCATCCCTAGTAGGTAATGCTTATTTTTCAGGAGCTCGGGTTTTCAAATTGTATTTCATGTTGATTAAATTTTGAACATGTTTGACATGTTGATTGTTGGATTTTTTTAAATGTACAAAAGAGGTTAAAATTTGTAAAAACAGTATAGTCGATAGCATATAATTTTAATCAAGAAAAATATCAAAAATAATTTAAGGACGTTTTCTCAAAAGACAAGAACAGACAAACAACAAAAATATTTAAGCACAGTGCTTCTCCCACTCCATATTTTGTATGTCTCCCACATTGGACATGCCCAATTGAAGTCCTGTAGTCTCTACTAATGAGCTGATGACTTCAATAAGGTGCTTTAAGCCGGGCACACACACTACGATTTCGGCCACTATTTGGCTGTCTGAGACAAATTTCACAAATCCTAAAATATTCCTATAATCCAAGGCTAAAATCTGTAGTCTTTGATAGTTAGTTTGACATGTTCACTATCAGCCTATTAATGACCGTTGTGATCAGATTTTCCCTTCGACGAAATTCTGGCAGTGTCAGAAGATTTGGCGCACAGTGCTGCAGTGTGACTTCTTCTACAATGAACATCAAACTGTCAAGACAAGCTATGATCAGAATTAATCTTCTAACTGCCATAAACCTGGCCGCTGCTCACAGAATTCATATGATACATTGCCTTTGCTATGATAAGTACTAGTTGACACCGCTGTTTTGATTTGGGTGTGTAGTGTAGAGCTGCTTACACAATTCTTCTTAAATACGCTGGCATTGCTGTTGTTCATATGCTTTTCATGATAGCCAACATTTCAGCCCCACGTGTAATGCAGCTCACAGTCACTGAACATGTATGGGTTGATAACGCAAAACTCCGGTCAAGTTGTCAAGTTTTCATCTGTTTTTAACACATCTTGACTGTCGTACTGTCAATGACATTAATGACAACTGAGATTCCACAGTGTCACAGTGTGACCATGTTCGTACAGTCTGACAAGCAACAATCGTAAAGGACTATTAAAATCGCAGTGTGTGCCCGGCTTTAGATGAGAAAGAAGACATTAAAAATGGTGTTCACAGGAAAGGTTTCAGAAGCACTGTTCTAGCGGATAAATTCACATTACCACAACAGAGCGGTGGAACTATGATGTCACTTTGTGGGCAAAAACACAGAAGCGAGTTATCATTTTAGCACTTTCACTTCCATCGTCCATGGGTTTTTTTTGAATGGGAGTTTGGTTAAATCCCCTAAAATAAGGTCTGTGGTTTACACAGGCTCAAGATACTTTCACATTTTATTCTACGACATAAAACACTCCAGTTACACCCCAACTAATTGTTTTTAACTGTTATGTTTCTTAAAAAAGACGGTTGCTAACAAGTTGCTAAGTGGGCCTACAGGCACTGTCTGAGACATTAAACGTCATCACGCTGAACAGTATATCAATTTACAGTATTTTCCAATCATAGTGTATAATTTATAGTACAATTAATTGTAGAATAACCAATTAATAGTTTCCCGTATTTTATATTGTTGTTCGACAATGTTTTTTTTTTGCTTTGCCCCGAAATGCAACAAGTCTTGGGATGGAAGATGCTTGTTTTATCGCTTTCCTACTGATGCGGAGACTCTCTGGGTTCGTAAGGTAAACTCATATTACGATTATTCCATGTAAACACCACATTTACCGGCTTAGTCACGGTGAAAGTGAAACTTTAACGATGCATAGTGCTAAAGCCACGTTAAAATTAAATGTTTACGGCCACATGAAGCTGTTACAAAGCATATAGATTGAGGATTTTCTAGAAGCAAGGATAAAATAAAATTTTGTGTATCCACCCTAACAAAGCTGAAATGTGGTACTTTACTCACTAAAAGGCTAAAATCTGTAGTCTTTGATAGTTAGTTTGACATGTTCACTATCAGCCTATTAATGACCGTTGTGATCAGATTTTCCCTTCGACGAAATTCTGGCAGTGTCAGAAGATTTGGCGCACAGTGCTGCAGTGTGACTTCTTCTACAATGAACATCAAACTGTCAAGACAAGCTATGATCAGAATTAATCTTCTAACTGCCATAAACCTGGCCGCTGCTCACAGAATTCATATGATACATTGCCTTTGCTATGATAAGTACTAGTTGACACCGCTGTTTTGATTTGGGTGTGTAGTGTAGAGCTGCTTACACAATTCTTCTTAAATACGCTGGCATTGCTGTTGTTCATATGCTTTTCATGATAGCCAACATTTCAGCCCCACGTGTAATGCAGCTCACAGTCACTGAACATGTATGGGTTGATAACGCAAAACTCCGGTCAAGTTTTCTTGTGCGCATCTGTTTTTAACACATCTTGACTGTCGTACTGTCAATGACATTAATGACAACTGAGATTCCACAGTGTGACATGGTCATCATGTTCGTACAGTCTGACAAGCAACAATCGTAAAGGACTATTAAAATCGCAGTGTGTGCCCGGCTTTAGATGAGAAAGAAGACATTAAAAATGGTGTTCACAGGAAAGGTTTCAGAAGCACTGTTCTAGCGGATAAATTCACATTACCACAACAGAGCGGTGGAACTATGATGTCACTTTGTGGGCAAAAACACAGAAGCGAGTTATCATTTTAGCACTTTCACTTCCATCGTCCATGGGTTTTTTTTGAATGGGAGTTTGGTTAAATCCCCTAAAATAAGGTCTGTGGTTTACACAGGCTCAAGATACTTTCACATTTTATTCTACGACATAAAACACTCCAGTTACACCCCAACTAATTGTTTTTAACTGTTATGTTTCTTAAAAAAGACGGTTGCTAACAAGTTGCTAAGTGGGCCTACAGGCACTGTCTGAGACATTAAACGTCATCACGCTGAACAGTATATCAATTTACAGTATTTTCCAATCATAGTGTATAATTTATAGTACAATTAATTGTAGAATAACCAATTAATAGTTTCCCGTATTTTATATTGTTGTTCGACAATGTTTTTTTTTTGCTTTGCCCCGAAATGCAACAAGTCTTGGGATGGAAGATGCTTGTTTTATCGCTTTCCTACTGATGCGGAGACTCTCTGGGTTCGTAAGGTAAACTCATATTACGATTATTCCATGTAAACACCACATTTACCGGCTTAGTCACGGTGAAAGTGAAACTTTAACGATGCATAGTGCTAAAGCCACGTTAAAATTAAATGTTTACGGCCACATGAAGCTGTTACAAAGCATATAGATTGAGGATTTTCTAGAAGCAAGGATAAAATAAAATTTTGTGTATCCACCCTAACAAAGCTGAAATGTGGTACTTTACTCACTAAAATAAGTTTAATCTTACCATATCCAAAAACTCGCTCACTCTGCTGTTATTTAATAGATTAAATTCACTAAAATTTTATTGAATAGTACGTGGAGACACGTTTTTAATTAAATTATCCATATTAATCAAGGATTTGTTAACTTTTAATGCCCCTTATTTAGAAATTTACAAAAATGTGCTTTAATGTCCTTTAGTTATGATTATTTCATTTATTCACTACACTATACAATATTACTAATGTCTCATTTTAGTTTGGCTCTAGTTTTGCATTTATTCCAGTTTATATGAAAAGGTTCATGTAGCGTGGATTACAATTCATATACAGACTAAATCCTTTTCACTGAACGTGTTAAAAATAAGTTTGAAAAAGTTGTGGGAAGCATGGTGGTGGTGACGCTGAAGGCGAGTGACCGTGTTGCTGTAGTTTGTTTATAGCCTAAGTTTAGCTTTTAAGTTCTGGCGCTTTTATTTTGGCTTCAAAATTCATAAAAGTTATATTATTTTGTGAAGATTATCTTGATGGACAAAACGTGCAAGTTGAACTATGATTGAACACAGAGCTTATTTTTTGCGATAACCCAAATGCCTATGGAAAAATCCTATTGGCTTTTTGTCGAGGGAACCAGTGTGATGCTAACAGCCGATCCGCCTACAAAGTGACGTCACAGTAGGGCTGCAAGATTATGACAAAAATCATAATTGTCGATTATTCCCTTGAAATTGTAAATGTGATTATTAATTACAATTATCACAATTTACATTGAATGATGTTTATACCATTGTTTGATGCAACTGCATGCCGTATTTTTATATGAAAATAACTGAAGGCAGGGCATAGAGGACCTACAATAATGTACAGTATTTGAAAAATAATGTGTTTTTTGAACATTAAAGCATGTCAACATATTCTGTTACACCAAATAATGATCTTTAAAAAAGCATCATATGACCCCTTTAAATTATAAAAAAAGTAAAAATATGAATGGTATTATAATATTATACTAAAACAATGGGAAAACCCTTAAGATAACATGTAGAAAGAAAAAAACATCTTAAGCACGCAGAATAACATAAGTGGACTTTGAACGATTAATTGCCACTTTGAACGATTACGTAATTGTGGCATCCATAATTGTAATCACGATTAGAAATGCGATTAATTGTCCAGCCCTACGTCACAGTTCCCCCACTCTATCCTGCATGAAAATAAAAGACAATCAGTTTGTATCTTACCTCACCTCAGTGAAGATAAACAACTTGAGGATCTTCACCACGGACGGACAGAGCTAAGGCCACTAAAATGTGGTGAGGTTTCTTCCACAGAAAGTTTTATTTCTGATAAATACAGAGAAATTATTTTCGCCACCGTTTATAAAGAATAAGTAACACTTTGTACTAAACTACATATTTATATTTCATATAAATTCCTATTTTCTACTCACGAATGAGTGTGCTTTATAATATTAGTTAATGACTTCAAGTGTTTCCTACTGATATACTGTAAATCTTTCAGATACACACCAGGCTCACAGCAGCACAGGAGTCTCCAGACTCTTCTCAGAGGCCTCCACAGACACTCAAATATCCCACCTGCGACAAGAACAGATCAGATACGGCATTACTACATGAACAAGCACTTTTTAGTACCAAACTTAATAAAAAAATTTATCAAACCATAAACTAGACACAGAATAGCTTATAATCCCTTCTATTTAACTAAAACCATCAGAAAAGCGTCGTGTACTGGCGCAGCCAACTCAAGAGGTGTGTTCGCTAATGTCCACAAACAACTTATTTGTCGATGTTATTTGGTATTTAACAGTGCGAATTTCCCCCATCAACTCCGAAATCGTTATAGTGGATGATAACTTGATTAATTTCATCCCAGCAATACCGGGGAGTCTAATCGAGGCAGGAAACAAGCACAACAGAGCTCGCGCCGCAACAGTTTAAAAACACGCTGAAGTAAAACAAAGTATTTATCACCTCTGGAGTCGGTTCCCATGTTGGAGTCTGGTGTAGCCATCAGTGTGTTAACGTATCCCTTACAAACTTTGCTCACACTGGCGAAAGCTACACGCAGCCTTCTCGCGGCAAACTTGAAATTCACAAACCAGGTTCTAGTCCGACGTTACGTCATGACGTCAGACGTCGAGCTACGTTGCCATGTGCGTTTTTTCTTGAAGTCAAACTACACTCTGCCTCGTGTCACAAATCTAAACTGAAAAAAAAAAATTACGCATTTCTTCAGTCTATGATACAGTTGTGTTTTTACTGGCTAGCATAAAGCAGCACGCTTCCGCAATACACCCCAGTAACTTACTGTAAAGGCGACAAAAAATAAAATAAAAAAGCAAGCCATGTACAGTTACAGTGTAAAATGCCCTTCATTCATTTAGCTGGGCAGTTGAATATGTGAAATAAAAGCGTATATTATGTTTTTAAAAAGCTGCTGCAAATTGCAGTTTATAATTGTTTTTGTTTTTTATTCGTATTTTCTATTTTGAACAATTAAATTCATGATTAAAAATGTGTCTTTTTAATAAATTGTCTTTTTAACTTCATAAACACAATAATGTAAAACACGTTCACTAAAGAAAAGCTTACCTTTCCAAATCCCCCTTCACACTTAAATTCCGCCCGCTGTTGCATGAAGGAAATGAATGAATGAACTTATTTTTTCCTGCCAAATCGCCTCCCCGATTAAATCGCCTTAATCGGCATCTTCTTTTCGTCGGTGTTTTTAGCAGTAGCTCCATTATACTGATGAAATCTCCGTTGTTTTAATAATCCTGAAGAGAGAGAGATGAACACGTTGGTCGTTTCTGAGAAACGAGTCTTCCCGCGCGCTGCTTCTTCTTTGGTTGCTTTTCAGTTCAAAGGGAACAGCATCGCCACCACGAGGTAAAGGACCACTAGTAGCCTATGTTTATCGAATGAAAATATGAGTATAAAATATACAAAATCTGATACAAGTCTAGAATAAATGTTAAACAACCATAAATGGACGCCTTAATCTGTAGGAAAGCAGCATGTGAATACAAATAGGCAACACATACATAGTTTGCAAACTGGTGTTTGTTTTAAGAGCTGAATTAGGCCTACTTAATATTTAATGAATTGCTTTTCTAAATGTGTGACATATTTAAGTTACAAACTTTACAAAGACAGCATCCATGAAAGAGCTGAACTTGCTAACGTTTTAATCATATCAATGCAAAAATTTGAAAATCATTACACTAATTTTGATTTTGCAGATGTTTGCCAGAATGTCTGCAGACAGCTGCATGTCTCTCTGAGATTTTGTAGTCCTTAACTGTAGTTTATGTTGGGGGATATGTTCAAATATATTCAATAAAATTAAGGATAGGTCTATTTGAAAATCTTTTAACGTTTATTATAATACAAAAATAAGTAATCACTGAAAAACTGCATTGTAGTCATAAGTTTACATTCACCTTTTGCAAAATCTATCTGCGAAATCTAAAGAGATATCATACAAATTGCATTTATTTGTTTATTTTAATTTAGCACAGCCCTATTTCACATTACTTTTTTTTTAAATACTTAAAATACTTAAATACTAAGTCATGATCCACGATTGTTTTTATGTTTTGTGTTTCTCGTTGGTCCTAATACTCAAAATTTTCAGAACTAAATTAATTTCAAAACAAAGAACAAAAGAAAAAATGTTTGGTCTGAAATTAATGAAATATAATGTAGAAATACAGTAAAATAATATATACTTCATAATCATAATAAGGGGTGTGTCACAAGTTCACCAGTCACCAGCCCAGAACTCAATTTCCCAGCATTCCCCTTGATCCACACCTGCAACTACTTCTCAGTCAGCACACCTGTCAGCGATCAATAGAGAATTTTTTTGCAGGAAGGAGCACAATTGAGCAGACACATTTTTCAAAAATTTTAGACATAAAAGGAAGATTTGAGATGGGTCTGTAATTTGCCAGTTCACTAGGATCTAGTTGTGGTTTCTTAATAAGAGGCTTAACCGCCAGCTTGAATGGTTTTGGGACGTGACCTAAAGACAACGACGAGTTAATAATATTGAGAAGCGGTTCTTCTGCTACAGGTAACAACTCTTTCTTACATTTGTTACTATTGTATTTCTGATATCTATTTTATCAGTGAAGAAATTCATAAAGTCATTACTATTAAACTGTGAGGGAATATTTAGATCGGGTGGCGTCTGGTTATTTGTTAATCTAGCCACTGTGCTAAATAAAAACCTAGGATTGTTTTGGTTATTTTTTAAGTTTGTGGATCTGCTCGGCCCTGGCAGCTTTTAGAGCCTGTCTATAGCTGGACATGCTGTTTTTCCACGCAATTCTAAAAACGTCCCAAGTTTTTCTCCATTTGCGCTCAAGACTACGAGTTTTATTTTTCTTGAGAGAATGGGTATTACTGTTGTACCATGGCGCAGTATGTTTTTCTCTAACCTTTTTCAATTTGATGGGGGCAACAGCTTCTAATGTATTAGAGAAGATAGTGCCCATGTTGCTAGTCATTTTGTCTAGTTCATGTGTACTTATTGGTACACAGAGCAGTTGAGAGAAATCAGGCAGGTTATTTGTGAATCTGTCTTTGGTGGCTGGAACAATAGTTCTGCCCGGACGATAACGCGGAGCCATATAGTTAATATTAGTAAGACGCAGCATGCACGATACAAGGAAATGGTCAGTAACGTATTAGAGAACTATAATTAGAGAAATGCACGGATTACATAATGAAAGTTTATTTTATTAGGAGTCTATTTTCGATTAGAATTTTCATTTTAAAGTAGTAATTTAAAGCTTTCTATATATTTTGATCATGTCTGAGTTTAGGTTCATCATTGTGAAGCGCTCCTGTTCAAGACCGAGACAGCAGAAAGCATTTGTTTTCTTTATTTTATAAAAGCACAACGTTTTGTTGATATTGTGAGTGCACACAAATAAAACTAGACCCTTTACAGTTTAGAATGATGTATTACTCTTACCTTTATGAGCAAAAATGACTGCGTATTTTAAGTTGTTTCCACTGTTAGAAAAAAATGCAAGTGATCGCACTGGCACCTCCGTGTCCTGCAGAGCTTCAGCTTCCACTCCTCCGCAAACGATTGGATATGCACATTTATATAGGTTAAACATTGTGATATACTTGAACTGTTTTATATAGAGATTTTATTCTAGGCAAGTCCTGATGATTTGAGAAGGCTAAATTGATCAAACAGGCTATAGGCTTATGATCAATTCACTGTCTGCCGCTGGCCTTCACTTAAGAACACATTTAACGAACTAAAAAATACTCAATGTTTCTCTAAATTTACTTTATAAAGAAACAAAATATAATCACTTTTCCATTACATACAAAACTGAACTATTTTTAATAGCTGAAACAGTAGTATAAGCTTTTTTGGGGAAAAAAGAAGGGCTTAATCCACTTCATCCAACGCCGTTTTGTTCTCATCTGTGAGCATGCTCGTGATATATGTATTTTAGGTGTGTAAATGTATAATTGCCTTTTACATTATTTTTTCAGTTTTATTTACATTTGTAGTTAAAACAACTAAATTTATTTTAAAGTTTAGAATTAGGCAGCCTTTGCACACAGGCTTACGCTGAAAACAACAAAATGGAACCTCAAGGTTGATCTAGGAAAATGTGTGCAAATGTATAGGGCCCCATTCCTATATTTTGCCTGGGGCCCCCAATTCACTAAATCTGCCCCTGCAAGTATGTGGGTGTACATGCTATGTCAGATGATGACTACTGACTTACGAATATTGCTAAAGATTCCCTCCACACAAAAACAAAACTAAAGGCTGAATGAAATGTAACCACCACATCCTCTTTTGTCATGCTCCTATGCATTTGCGCTGCACACCCTCATAGGCTAGATTTGTGCTTTCCGATTGAATTAAAACTTTATACAGTATTGCAGTTAGTCAATCTAAAACGTTGTTTGCGCATTAACAGCTGTCAGCCATGTCGGTGTCAGACTCGCCACACTGATATGCAAATCAGGTGTTAAGTAATTAAAATGTGCTGATTTGCATACATTTGACAAGTCATTGCAGATTAATAGGATAAACAAAATAACTAAAGCATATCACTACAGAGCTTCCCCAGTTATTAGTTAATGACTTGCATCAAGAGTCTTTTCCTTAATGTTATGTTTATAATATGTAGATGGCTTGTTTTGGTTATTTAGAAGAAATCTACAGAAGCAAACAGATAGTAGGCTTACAACAAACACCTTAATGTGTATTTTGGACATTTCCTTTCCATTAGAGCAAAAGAAGATATGGAAGCAAAATAGACCAAAATCAAAGCCTTAAACAATAACTTCATAAGTCGTGGCCTAATGGTTAGAGCGTCGGACTCGTTACCCAAAGGTTGCGGGTTCGAGTCTCGTACCGGCAGGGATTGTAGGTGGAGGGAGTGAATGTACAGCACGCTCTCCCACCTTCAATACCATGACTGAGGTGCCCTTGAGCAAGGCACCGAACCCCCAACTGCTCCCCGGGCACCGCAGCATAAATGGCTGCCCACTGCTCCGGGTGTGTGTTCACGGTGTGTGTGTGTGCACTTTGAATGGAATAAATGCAGAGCACTATTTCCTAGTATGGGTAGTAATACTTGGCCACATGTCACGTCACAATTTTTATCTTAGGCTCCCCATCTAATAACTATCCGTTCTATTAGTATGCTGATAGATCTTAAGAACTTTTTCACATTTGAGGGAGGGCTGTTGTCACCATCAGGTGTGTGTGTGCATGTTACAGTAAGTGTAATTTATAACATTGTGAACTGATTATTTTGTAGACATCTGTTAAAAAATAAAACCACAAAAGACAACTGTGAGTGTGAGGCAATTAAAATAAATTGGTAAGTCATATTTGTTAATATATTTAACATTTTTGTTTAGGAAAAAAATTAAAATAAATGAAGTGCCCTTTTTTCCACTTGAGCCCCTGCCCCTCAATGTCTGTGCACGTCCCTGGTTTTTTGTTTTTGTTTTTTTGGTAATCGCACCCCTGTAACCCTGAGACAAGCCTGTTAAAAGACTTGATGCTCATTTGGATTT